ATGTCCCTATATTAAAAATAACTACCAACAAATTAAAACTTAATTAAACTTAGTTTCCTTTTTGAAAAATTTACAGTTCATATTTTATTTTTGGTGTGTCTGATGTTTGCAAAGGAATAAACATTTAACAATTGAGAAACAGTTAAGCAAGCTTTCCTTAACCACAGGGTGTATGTTTTTTCTAAAAAAGTTTCCACATAAGGCATGGGGCACATTTTTTCCCTCTTAACTCATACTTCAGTAGATAAAAATAATTCTGCTTTCCATGGTAACGGAAAAGAACAGGAAGAAAAAAATGCACAGTTATTCAGCATTACGCTATCGACTATTACAAACAATTTTAACTCCCTGCGTAGTTTATGCAGTTTTAAACACCTTCTACTCTTTTGCTGGAAAATACAGCATATAAATTTATATGAATAATCCTATAGCTCTACATTGACTTAGAAATAGCTCTACATTGACTTAGAAATAAGTCCAAGTAAGTTCTATTCCAGAGTAAATAAGAAGCTACATACTTCTAAAATCATTAGTAAAGGACAAATATCAAAAGAGGCATACCTTTCCCTTTCCAAAATTCAGAAGCAATATTTTCCAAGCTGGGAAATGAGTCTGTGGAAAACTTTAAATTGTGGTTCCTACTTTTATAGACCCATCAGGAAGCCACACCTAGCAACCAGTGCTTACTAATAAGAGCCCTGTGATTGGTTGCTCCGAAGGCTACTGTAAATAGAGGGTTTAGTCAAAGGGCCAGCCCTTCAAATAAACTATTCACTTGCTGGAAGAAATTGATTTCTAAGCTAATGCTGAAACTGGTCTGGGAATAAACGTTGTGTAATGTTCTTGGTGATGCCTTGGAGGCAAGGGCATTTAACTGTCGAAATGCCTTGATGAGCTATTGCAATATACTGTATGACTTATAGTTCAACATATAGACAAATGCTTGCATAAGCTTACTGTAAGGTAGGCTATTCTATTACAACTGATATTCAGGATGATCTCCCAAGTTTCATGCTACATAATATAAACTTTCCTTTTCTTTTTCTTTTTTTTTTGTATTTACCAGCTATATACAATTCGCAGGTGATTCAGTATAGAATTTATATTTCGGTTCTCCCAGGAAGCTTTGGGCCAGTGGTGGGATTCAATTTTTTTTACCATCTGTGCTTCTGTGGGCGTGGCTTGGTGGGCGTGGCAGGGGAAGAATACTGTAAAATCTCCAGTCAGAGGTGGTATTTGACAACTTTCCGAACCACTCAAAATTACATCAATTAAAAAAGAAGAAAAGTTGGGGAATCTATGGCCCAGTTGCTGACATCTTCTTGGATAAAATAAAACTGATTTTCAGGTCTAATTTCAATAGGAGTTTCTGGATATAGACAATTTCAGTCTTGGTTATTTGATGGAGTGATCTCTGGAAGAGAAGGAAAATACAATTGCATTGATTCTCTTGAACCTAACAGCCATGGTGTCCTTCTGGAATGACATTTACATTGAAAAAGTTGGGAGTTGCATTAAGTAGCTCCTCTCTTATTTGGTAGGCCACTTCTAGAGTACAATTTTAGGAAATTATTGCTTTGTTGTATCATTAAATTTTATTGTCCATGCTAAATAACATTTATGCTAAAATACTGAATGAAATTGAGTACATGAAATGGATACATATAAGAAAAATAAAAAGAAACAATAGGACAGGGACGGTAGGCACATTGGTGCGCTTATGCACGCCCCCTACAGACCTCTTAGGAAAGGGGTGAGGTCAATAGTAGACAGTCTAAGGTTAAATTTTGGGGTTTGGGGAAGAAACCACAGAGTCAGGTAGAATATTCCAGACATTGACCACTCTGTTGCTGATGTCGTATTTCCTGCAATCAAGTTTGGTGCGGTTAACCTTGAGTTTGTATCTAATGTGTGCTCTTGTGTTGTTATGGTTGAAGCTGAAGTATTCATTGACAAGTAGGACATTGCAATGTATGATTTTATATACTATACTTAGATCGGACCAAAGGCGGCATAGTTCTAGGTTTTCTAGGTCTAGAATTTCAAGTCTAGTGGCAAGGTATTGTGCAACGAGTAGAGGAGTGGAGAACTCTTCTTGTGAAATATTTCTGGACTTTCTCAATATCAGATACATAATGCGGGTTCCAGACTGATGAGCTGTATTCAAGTATTGGTCTAGCAAATGTTTTGTATGCTCTAGTTAGTAGTGTGATATTAGCAGAGAAAAAGCTACGTAGGATTAGGTTAACAACTCTTAACACCTTTTTGGCTATGTAGTTATAGTAGGCTCTAGCACTTAGATCATTAGAGATGGATATTCCAAGGTCCTTGACAGAGTTTGGATCCTTCCTTCCTCCCTCCCTCCCTCCCTCCCTCTCTCTCTGTAAAATGGACAACTATCATTTGTCAAGAGGATAAATGTTATCTGTCAAAATGCAATGTATGAAAAGTTAAGCTCAGGGAGATAATATGAGTTCATCTGCACACCATTATTTCCAAACTTCATCTTTCACCCTAGAGAATTTCCAGAGCAGCAGGATCTAGAATCAGAAAGTATCATATCTTGGATGAAAAAAAGCAACCAAGAAAGAAAAAAGATCAACAAAACCCCAGAAGCTTCTTCTTTCTAATTCTAATTTTCTAGAAAGGGAGCTAAGGTGGGTGTATAGCTTTAAGGAATGTTGCGTTGAGCAACCGGTCTGTTGTTTAGATCTTCAGGTTGATTGCTGAATTCCTCTCAGAAAGGGACCCTCGCAAGGGTGAGATAGAGAGAAGCCCTCGCAAGGGCGAAGTTTGGCAAAAGCAGGACCCTATAGCCAGGGTGATTGAGGGACTCTCGCAAGAGTGATTGCAAAGCTAAAAGAAAAAAGAACACAAGACGAAGATTTCTTTAGGTGAGACAGCGCATTGCTTTGGGCAGATGGGATTGCCTCATTTGAGCCTAAGACAGATGGAATGTTTAGGCTGGCTCCTTGCTCTACGCTGTGCTCTTTTATTATGCTGAAAAGAGGGGGGTGAGGGGGGTTTACAGAAAGACAAAGAAGTTACAAAGTTTATCTTTTAGACCAGGCTACAAGTGATACAAATAACGAACTTCTTGGCTGTTATTGATTAATAGTTTTCCGGTAAACATGTCTTTACAGAATACACATCTTATCTGACAGACTTTTGAATATACATCCTTTCACAGGCTTTTGTGAAATATGTCTTTACTTTATCTGACACAGACCTCTGTGTTAATCTTATCAATTTAGCTTCTTCCTGTCAGTTATTTTCCTGTCAGTTTAGTGAACTTTGCTCTGAGAGGTATACGTGCTAAGCAAGATTTTTCTTATGGAAAAATACAGAATATCCACAAAGGAAGACATGACTGCTTCACCCTAGGCCTCTTCAAGTGTTATGACTCATGTGATTATAACAGTGCAATCTCTCTTAGAAAATCAAGAGGCTTTGGACTGCAAGACCTCTGTCTTGTTCCTCATCTTATGTTCCCAACAACCTAACTCTTCCATGTGAGCAAGTCAGAATGTTTAAAGGATGGAGAATAAAGGGATGTTTAATGAAAATGCACAATTGTAGTGCAAAATTGTGTCTGAAAAAGCCCTTCTCAATTGTCACGACATTTTAATGTGAAAGAAAACTACATTTATAGATAGTATTGTTGTTGAATTAATGTATAGTAGATCGTTTCAAAATTGATTTTGCTCGTTGCAACAGAAGAGTGAAGTTTAATCCTTTTTCATCACCATGATTCTGTTCCAAGTTATTTGCTGGATGAGACATAGTTGGACTGATGCATATTTTCCAAGTATGAGCAGGAACTGAGACAGAAGCAAAGATTAAGCAGCAAAGCAATCTCTTCTCTTCCCACATGAGTTGTCATTCATACCTCCTCCCCTTTAACCAACTTGTTCTAAGGATGTGATTAATGCTAAGTAAAATCTAATGAAAAAATAATAATAAAAGGCCAGATACAATCTGCACAATACTAGTGGATGTGATTAATGTATAGCACAGCCCTAGAGGTATATAAACATGCAGGTTTTAAGCTAAAAGCTGGAAGTTGTATATAGAATTGCAGATGCATAAAAAGTTTTCCCAAATTCATTTCTAAGTTACCTGTAAATCTAATTAAGTTGAATATGTGTATTTTGGATGCCCATTATGTTTGTGAAGAAACTAAGCTTATTTAAACATCCAGAATCTGAAAGTACAAAAAAAAAAAAATCCTAGAATGCAGTTGCAAGAATCAAGCTCATCTGGAGAACATCAACTTTTATCATTACCTAAATATACCCTAAAGCAGGGGTGGGAAACTATGGCCTTTTTATGACCTGTGGACTTCAACTCCCAGAATTCCTGAGCCAGGCAGGAAGTCCACAAGCCCATAAAGGGGGCCATAGTTTCCAACCTCTGCCCTAGGAGAACCTCTACATGATGTTGCCAAGACTTAATTAGTTTAATTAGCCTGATTTAATTATTCTAATTAGTTCCAAGTATAAGTGACTGATTTACCAAACTACCCTGTTTCTCCAACAATACGGCCTCCCCCAATAGGAAATCCCAGCATGTTTTATAGGCATGAAATGAAATTAAGCCCCTCACCCCAAATTAAGGCCTATATTAAAACATGCGAAATGGGGGGGAAATGGCGAGGGGGCTTGCTGTTAGGAAGTACTTTTGTTGCACACCTGGATATGGTGCTGCCTGCGTTGACCCCGATACGAAGTGCTCCACCAACGCCGAGGTCAACATCCAAGCCATCGCTGCCCGCCCGCCCAAAGATGCAAGGGGGGGGAATTAAGTCACCCCTGAAAAGACGGCCTAGTCATTTTTTCGGGGCTCAAAAAAAAATAAGACCCGGCCTTATCATATGAGAAACACGGTAAGTAAACTAAGTCAGCTTGCTCTTTATGTCAAGTGCAAAGCAGCTACATTCCTTTTAGTAATTTTAGCTCTTTCTATTCAATATCTTTCTCTCTGGCACTAACAATCCTGATATGTCAGATGATTGGGCTGCGGAAGTTTCTTTCAACTACAAGGAAACAAATGAATTTCCTGTTACTTCTCGAAGCCCTACATCTGGTGAAGAAGACTGGGTAAGGCTGCCTCTTCATTTGGCTCCCTAAATGAACCAGTCAGAGTTCTTTGGTTGCTGTCTCTCTACCCAGCTTTCTAAGGAGAGAAGCAGCAAATTGGATTCCAGTGAAGAAAAGACAGGCTGTTTTGAAGCCCTGCTTCAACGAGGAGTGGTTTACCCATGACTCAGAGGCACTCCTATCCTCTTTCTCACAAATACCAGCACTCCCTTTCTCAGCTCTCGGCCTTTTGTGACATTCCTTTGCTGTGGTGACATTTGACGAATGCATTTGGTGTGGCTTGCAGGGGCAATGAACATTAAGGAAATTGCAAAAGGAAATGTTAGTCTGCTTTTCCCCCATGTTCTGAGTACGTTGCACTTCGATTCAAACCCTGCTACAGAAATGGCTAGTTTATATATACCGTTGTGTAAAAATAAAAAGTTCAGGTTGTAATGTTATCTTCTACTGCGCCCAGTTCCCAGAATTCTGGGAGTTGAAGTCCACAAGTCTTAAAGGTTGGAAACCCTTGTTATAGAGAGTTGGAAGTCCGTCCTTTTTCTTTCTTTTCCCCACTTTACTCCATATATTTCTCTTTTCAAGTTTTCTATTACTTTTTTTAAAAAATTCTTTGTATTTTATACATTGATCAACTAATAAAAATGTATTTAAAAACTTCAACTCAGTAGGGCCACAGACTAGGATCTCTTGGCCCATCCAATCATGTCTAAAAGTTTTAGACTCTACCAATGCATCGAAAGCATCACTTGGTGTGTGGTGTGACTGTGTAAGAACTTATATAGATTTTTCTCATTGTTGCCTTCTGGGTACCTTACATTATAACTCTGTAATGCATGACTATCAAATGAAGAAAAAGGCTACTAGGAAAGACAGATTGGGTGTACCAAATGCTGAGTTACCCATTTGTAGTCCTGCTGGGTAAAGCAAATCTGCAGCATTAATGTTTTATAGAAATGAATAATTTTAAAAAACACTCAGGAAAATCGGTCCTTGGAATATGAAATAGGAATGAAAACATTGTTGCTTGCACTTGTGCTCCCCCCTTTTTTTCAATATATTGCTTATGCTATCCTACCATTTCTAGTTGATAGGACAGTAAATTCTCAAAATTGTAGCTCTGATACATCCAGAGGATGTCGGGTCAGGAAAAGTATATGAAAGTACATGAAAAGCTACAGTATCAAAAATTTAAGTTTTCACGGGATTTCAAAACATTTCTGTGCTAATATTCATCCTCTTCCAGTGATCTACCCCAATATTTAGCATTTAATATTTAGCAATAATTAGAATTTACTTTTTATTATTGTTAGTAGTAGCCTTCTACTCCATACTAGATATTCCCCAAAATAGTGAATCCGCCTACATTGCTATCCATTCCATCCACATATCATTCCTGAAGGGCTTTAAAAGTAATTTGTATTTTGTTGCTTTCATCCACGGATCCCAAGTGCATTTAGTTAAGTCTGGAGCACACAGGAATAATTTCATCCAGTGGTGGGATTCAAATTTTTTTACTACTGGTTCTGTGGGCATGGCTTGGCAGAGGAAGGATACTGTAAAATCTCCAGTCAGAGGTGGTATTTGACGGTTTTCCGAACCAGTTCTCCAGAACTGGTCAGAACCTGCTGAATACCACCTCTGCCTTCATCTAATAAGTGTTCAGCCTGAGCTAGCCAAGATCTGAGATCTGAAATTCCAGCCATTCACCACACAAAAAAAGAAAGACACATTTCATTCTCCATTATGCTATTCCCCAACTTCTGTGAAGTCTAATATTCTCACAAATTCTGCATGTAACCAGCTAACAAAGTGAACGCCGGGGGTTGGCCTGAGAAAGAATGAAATGAAACTAAACTGGAACTGTATCCAATGAGAAATAAAATGTTCATAAACATTGGATGACCTCATTTGAACATGAATTTCTTCCAGAACAAAAGAACAAAAGAGATGGGGGGGAAATGAGTGGTAGTTGATATTTGCTGTCATGTGATCATTGGGCACCTCCAGAAGCAAAGTAATCCATTTTGTAATAGTTATCAAGTTATCAAAAGTCATCTCTAAGTAAACATGGTGATTGCACTGATGTTCTCCCTCATAAACCCAATACCGTAGTCAGTGCAGGAACCAATATACTAACATCAGCATTACAATGATTCAAAGCTTCAGCAGAAGTTTGTAGCACAGTCTTCAACTTATGATAGTAAATGAGCCTGCATGATGGTCGTTAAACAAACAATCATGTGACTACATCCAATTTTACAAATGCCGCAGTCACAAAGAGAACCCATGGCTTGCGGTTGGGAAGGTTTTTTGTCAGAAACCAGAAGTAAATATTGTAAATTGCGATCACTGATGCTGCAAATGGCCATAAATGGGCCAGTTGCTGAGTATCTAAAAGATAGTCACATAATCATGGGGGTAGGGGGGGGAGACAGACGAAGAACCATCAGAACTTCAAATCAGGGTGTAAGTAGTTTTTTCAGGGTGTGTTGTGACTTTAAATGACCTCTAAGTGATTGGTTGTAAGTTGAGAATTACCTGTACCCATGGAGCTTCATTCCTTCAGTCTTTACCATTTTTAGTTCAATCTTTACAGATTCATTTTTTTAAAAACTTATTCTAATGTAGACATTCTTGTTTTCAAAAACACTGTTGTTTTTAAAGAAATATGGTCAGGCTGCAAATAAACCCTTTAAATGGCATGATTGCTGGCCAGATAAGAAACCAGATTCCCTATAAGAACTATGGCTTCATTTCCATGGGAAACAAAATCCCACCGTGTTCCTTTTCAGGACTCTTGAATTTTTAAACATGCTCTGGGTCAGATTCTCCCCCCATGACGTGCTTTCCTTTTTTCTATTTCTAACCTGAATGGACCCATTATTCTCAACTTGCAGTTTATTCACCATGGCAGAAGGTAAATTTGCTCTAGCTATTTTCATTGTTGCAGTATCTTAAGTAAACTATTTGCTCAACCGAGATATTATCTTAGTATATTGGGAATGGCAAGGTTGATATGTATGTATATGTAATTTTTGTTTAATTCCAGCTGCTAGTTTGTAAAAACTGGGTGTTCCCCACTGCCTGAAATAGCATAAAAATAACAGGTCTTTTTCACATAGCTTGAGATTACACTAGGAATTATCTACCTGGATAGCTCCTCTGTTTCCCATAATATCTGCCCAACCAGTTTGATCTGGCACGGCAGCCAACACACCGGGTTCCTTTGATTAAACAATGCTATCTATCAGGATCTTGCAAGCAAGCCTCCTCTATTGTTAAGATTCACGTGGCTCCCACCTTACTGGTGTTTCAGAAGCCTTGAAAAGCTGGGTGTTCACTCTGATTTTCAATTTGGGTGTTTACCAAACTTATGGGATCATATGGGTGCGTTTCTTGATGTTGCCAGCTTTCTTTCGTTTCTGTGTTGATGAGGATGCTCAGGTCTGATTCTTGAAAATTGTATGGGCCAGGTCTCTCCACATCTTCTAATCTTGCACTACTTTCTCTGAGTTGTTTTCTGTGTTAACTGAGTTAACTGTATCAAACTGAGTTGAGACTCTGTATTACTGTTGTGTGTTTTTTTTCCCCTGTGCTTTTACTTAGTGAGCGACCATGAGTGAGTGGGAGTCCGGCTGTGTAGAAATTTAATAAATAAATACTAATGAATAAATTCCTGGTTTTCATTGAGAATGTACAGCTTTGGCTTCTGATTTTGATATATTTCAAATGGGAGTTAATTCATGAGTAGGTCATTCCTGATCATGTTCTCAGCCACACAAATATGTGAAACAAGAAAAACCACTTAACTTTGAAACAAATACTTAGACTGCCCTTTATTAAACTGAAACTCCTGCATATTTCAACTTTAAACAGTAAAAATGCTCTAGCTGTATCACAGTTCTTTAAATTACGCCTAGTATTCAATATTAAAAAAGGGGGGGAGACTTGGGTGCAAATTTCAAGGAGACTAACTCAGGACCCAACCCTTATTGTCCTACAGGAATGCTTTATATGTAGGAAATAGTTTTTAAAAATATTTCTAAAGGTAAGGGTTTGCAGTGAAATGCAAAATGCTTCCCCCACCAATGTTGCAATCCATTCCTCAGTTTGCTGTGGCAGTCAGAACCAGCAATTGCATTAAAACGCAACCTTGGCAATGATGAAATATTATTAAGGGACATAGTGTTTTGCTTGTTTTGAAAGAAATTGAGCAAAATTTGCTTCTAATTTCTGAAAAAAAATAGCAAGTTCCTCTACTTACTTTAGAGTGAAGAAATTTTTTTTCACCAACATTGAGTGAAATTATACACCCCAACCAAAATGTTTTTTTACCTAGTAGACAAATAAGAAATAATACAAGGACAGTGCTAAATGCTATTGAGTATTATGAAGTATTATGAAGCCCACCCCAAAAAGCAAGCAACTTTTATATTTTTGGACGCGCAGAAAGCTTTCAATAATTTAAATTGGCAATTTATGTTACAGCAAATTAAAAAAATGAATTTTGGAACAAATATCAGAAAAACACTATGGGCAATACAGTGTATTATTAAATGGGGATCGTACGTATAATTTTAAGATAGCTAAGGGAGTAAGGCAGGGTTGCCCACTATTGCCTCTGCTCTTTATTCTGTCCTTAGAAGTGTTATTAGCCCAAACCAGACAAATTTCATAAATAAAGGGGATTAAAATTAGAAAAGAAGAGTATAAGTTCCAAGCATTTGCGGACAACTTAATATTTATAGAAGACCCACTAAATACTGGACACATTTTGTTGCAAGAAATAGAAAAATTCAGGGAGGTCTTAAAATTAATAAAGACAAAACTAAAATGATAGTTAAACATTGTACTGCAAACCAGAAAAAAGAATTAGAAGGGGAAATTGGACTACAGATTGCAAAAAAGGTGAAATACTTAGGAGTACGGTTATCATCAAGATGCTCTTCAATTAAAGAAGACAACTATAGTAAATTACTAAAACAAATAAAAAAAAGATC